ATATCAAAGGAAACCTTGTTTTGAGCCTAACAATGTGGCATGTCTAGCACATGAATTCCAAAAAAGGCTGCGCGTCAGAAGCCCAAATGCAAGCCCCAAAAGTCCTAATTGGGCATGTCAACTTAAAATGACAATAACTTTTGATTTGGGAAGAATTACAAGTCCTGTAAGATATCAATGGAATGCTCGTTTCGAGCTTGTCATAGAAAGTCTAGCACATGAACTAGTGAGGGCTGTACATCAGAATCCAAACGCAAGGCCAAAAGGTCCCAAATGGGCATTTCAACTTAAAATGGCCATTTCAACTTAAAATGGCCATTACGTTTGATTTGGGAGGAGTTACGAGGCTCACTAGATATCAACAGAAAGCTTATTTTAAGCCCAATAATGTGACACACGTAGCATAAGAATTCTTGGAGAGGGCTATTGTAGTGACTCTTTCTCTATTATGATAAAAAAAACACTTATGCATATAAGTGAAAAATAATGAGCCCGAAAATTTTCTTTTCTTTATTTATTAAATTCTTTACATAACAAAAGTATCATATACATTAACGTAAAAACAGTGGACAATAATGCCATTTCTCTCCACTTCCCGACATCCATCCAATCGCTTCTCACCTATTTCTTGCAAAAACATTTAGAAACAACGGGGTGAGCACTAGTTGCTTAGTAAGTAAATCCGCTACTCTATTCTTCTATCTCCGTTGCTCATATTATGCATTTCTTTCCTTACATCACACTTTTTCTTCTTCTCGGTTCTCTCTATGTTCTTTCTCGATTCTTTCACTATTTCTAATTCTCACTGTTCTTCCTTTCTAGTTCTCTCTGTTCTTTCTTTATTCTAATTTCTCACTTCCCATGATAGTAATCATGGTATCATGCATCAGTATGATGCAAATGCACAAATGCATAGGAATGCATTTTCTTTCTATTTTTCTATTTCTTATTCTGTTTTCTTTCTCTTCTCTATGTTTCTTTCTTTCTATTTCTCTTCTTTCTTTCTGTTCTCTTCTTTCTTTTCTTTCTTCTTCTCTTCTTTTCTTTTCTTTCTTTTCTTATTCTTTCTTATTCTTTCTTACTCTTTCTTATTATTTGCCAATCGGACTCGATTGATGCATGGATTCAGAATCATGCCCGTGTGAGTGCGTACAGTCCTCATCTACATGCACTCTTACAGACTGTATGAATTCTTTTTCTTCTTAAGCCACTCATTAAAGACGGCGTGCATGTAGGTATATTCTTTTGGGTACAGCCCTCATCCACATGCACTCTTACGAGCTGTACAAATTCTTCTTCTTATTCTTAGGCCGCTCACTAAAGGTGGCGTGCATGTGGGGATATTCTTCTTCTTGTCACCCATGGGTTCCCCATCGCAACAACCTTTCTTTTCTTTTCTTTTCTTTTCTTTAGCACTTTTCTTTCTTTCTCTTTAGTGCTTTTCTTTCTTTCTTTTTGTTCTTTAGTGTGCTTATATGCATGTATGCATGTAGATGGATTCTTCTTATTATTCTTTCTCAATTCTTAATTAAATGCAAAGATGCAATATGACATGTAAACATGTCATTTTCTACTTTCTCTACCATCTACAAACTCATTTCAAACTATTATACTATCATAACCATACATGCACTTCACTTTGGAATTTCATCAAACAAGCGGTATACACAAATTAGACCCTTTCCTTTAATATTCTTTTCATTTGACTCTTCTTCTTGTTGTTCTCTTCAATACCCACAAACCCATTTTTGTTATACAAGAGTTTATGGAGCGACTACTACACCTGATACCCAAAATTGTAGAGCTAGCTTGATCAAGGCTTTAACTACTGGTTTAATCTTTGTTTGTTTATATAATTTATGGGTTTGTTTTTGTCTTTGTGAAATGGGTTCTTTTTTAATTTTAGTTTGGTAGGTTGTTTCTTGCATATGTTGAGACTTGAGAAGTTTTACTAGTAGTGGGATCCTGATGCATAAATGAACATAAACCCTTTTGTTTATATATTCTTTCTCTTTCTCTCAGTCTATCTCCTTTTAGTATTACACAAACAAATCTCAACCCAAAATTGTCTCCTACTTTCTGTTTCCCATCTTTTCTCTTCCGGGTTACTTTCAAAATTGTGTTTTTATAACCCAATTTTGTCAATTCAAACCCCCAAACAAAAACCCAAATTAAGGGACCCTTTCTTTTCATTTGACTTTTCTTCTTCTTGTTCTCTTCAATACCCGCATACCCATTTTTGTTACACGAGTGTTTATGGAGGGAATACCGCACCCAATACCCAAAATTATAGAGTAAGTCTTCGGCGACTTCAAGGGCAGACGAACTGGCTTGATCAAGGCCTTAACTACTGGTTTAATCTTTGTTTGTTTATATAATTTATGGGTTTGTTTATATAATTTATGGGTTTGTTTTTGTCTTTGTGAAATGGGTTCTTTTTTAATTTTAATTTTCTTGCAGGTGTTGAGAAGTTTTACCAACAGTGGGATCCTGGTGCACAAATAAACACGCACATTTATTTATATATTCTTTCTCTTTCTGTCAATCTCCTTTTAGTTTTACATAAACAAATCTCAACCCAAAATTGTGTCACACTTTCTCTTTACCATCTTTTCTCTTCCGGGTTCCTTTCAAAATTGTGTTTTTTTAACCCAATTTTGTCAATTCAAACCCCTTAACAGAAATCCTAATTCCCAAATTAAGCGTTTTTTAGACCTTTTCTTTTAAAATTCCTTTCAATCGGATCAGGTAGGCAAATTCAAACTCAACTTAATTTTAATCTACAATCCTCAACTCTCTGAACATGACAATACAATGCACATGTTGCACGAGAGGAAATAGCAAGATTCATAGTTACTACGGACTCTCCCATTTGTTTATCTGAACATCCTTATTTTATTCATATGATTAAAACTGCATTTTATCTAGCATATACCCCTGTTAGTAGAAGTACAAGTAGAAGAGATATACTAAAAACTTTATAACAAAATAAATAATAAACTTAAAAACGAATTTAAAAATTTTAGGAATATATGTATTGCACTTACAACAGACATATAGGTTTGTAGATCAAAAACAGATTTTTTAACTATCACAATACATTTCTTAGAACATAGTTGGGGTTTACAACAAAAATTGATGGGTTTTAAATCATTATATGAAAAACATTGTGCTAACACTATTTATTTTACAATTCTTGAAGTTTTGCAAGAATATCTATTAACTGATAGAGTTGTATCGCTAATGCTTGATAATGTAGCTACTAACACCGCGACAATCTCTTTATTTGAAAAGAGATTGGATTTGCGTGGTGAAGACAAATTTTTTTCACCAGAGATGTGCTTGCCACATCATCAATTTGATTGTTAAAGTAGGTTTAGATGCTATACATTTGAAGATGGAGAGGGTGCGAGCGGCTATCGAATTTATCGTCGACGGTAGCAACAAAAGATGGCAAGAGTACGTCAAATATTATAGGCAAGAGGGCCCACTGGTTCGACCTTTGAAGTTATGTATGGACATGCCTATCCGTTGGAACTCCACCTACTTGATGTTGGAAAAAGCTTTGCCAACCGCAAAACAAATTATAGATTTTGTCAACCAAAAGAACCATCTAAAGGACGTTGTCAGCTATGATGATTGGACTATTTGTTAACTTTTTTATTCATTTCTTAAATTTTTTTATGATTCCACTAATACATTAAGTGGTATTTATTATCCAACTACTAATTTAGTGTTAGATATTTTACTTCAAATTTCTAAAACTTTTGCTAAATATAGATATGATGACGTTTTCATGGAAATTGTTTTAAAGATAGAAGAAAAATATGAGAAATATTGGTTAGATATTCCATTCTTATATAGATTAGGCCTTGTTGTAGATCCTAGATTTAAATTATACGTAGTTAAATGTATAATTACTCTTATTTGACTGACTTTAAGCAAAAATTGGAAAACTTTTTTTTCTTTATAGCAAAACAGGTAGAATGGAAGTGGAAGTGGAACGTCCTGGAGAGATGATCAGAACCCTGATGAAGACCTCTATCAAGGATCGAGCATGTGGACGTATATGGAACATAGCGGAAGTAGGAGCTCTAGCTCGTACATATATGGACCAAATGAGTTGAATCGCTACCTACAAATGGACATGTCCTACATGACGAAGAAGGAGAAACGTGAGATGGATGTGCTTCAATGGTGGAACCAACATTAAAGTCGATTCCCCATTATAACTCAAATGACACGTGACATTTTATCTGTGTTGGTTTCTACAATTGCATTTGAGTAAGCATTTTCAACGAGTGGCCAAATTGTTGAAGACAGAAGATGTTCTTTAACCGATAAGATGATTGAAGTGATAATGTGTTTACGAGATTGGACTCATGCAGAGAGAAGACTACAATAGCACCCCGAAGATCTTGAACTACTTGAACTCTTTAGGAACACAGATTTTTAATTATTTAAATATTGTTGACGATGAAGATGAATAATTTAATAAAAAATTATTTAATTGCTTATTTGTGAAGCGTGAATGCGTGAATATTACATTTATGTTAAAATTAACCATTAATTTATTTATTATTTTTTAAAATTAATTAATCTTTTAAAAACTTACAAATCTACCCCTGAAAATTAATAAACCCCTTTACAGAATTTCATTTCGCTCTTAAAATATATATAAAAAAAAAGATAGGGGGAAAATGAAATTTTGTAAGCCCATAGGACGATCCTAAGACCGGTCCAGGTCCTAAAATTGCTTATGGGCTTAAGATCGATGATCCTAAAACCGATCCAGATCCTAAAATTGCTCATGGCCAGTCCCAAACAAATTGTTCTCTTCGGGTTTCTTTCAAAATGGTGTGTTTTTTAACCCGATTTTGTCAACTCAAACCCCCAAACAAAAACCCCAATGGGACCCTTTCCTTTAATATTCTTTTCATTTGACTCTTCTTTTTGTTGTAGTTCTCTTCAATACCGGCAAACCCATTTTTGTTATACAAGTGTTTATGGAGGGAATACCGCACCCGATACCCAGAACTGTAGAGCTAGCTTGATACTGGTTTAATCTTTGTTTGTTTATATAATTTATGGGTTTGTTTTTGTCTTTGTGAAATGGGTTCTTTTTTAATTTTAGTTCGGTGGGTTGTTTCTTGCAGAAGTTTTACCAGCAGTGGGATCCTGGTGCACAAATAAACATAAACCCTTTTGTTTATATATTCTTTCTCTTTCTCTCAGTCTATCTCCTTTTAGTTTTACACAAACAAATCTCAACCCAAAATTGTCTCCTACTTTCTCTTTCCCATCTTTTCTCTTCCGGGTTCCTTTCAAAATTGTGTTTTTATAACCCAATTTTGTCAATTCAAAATCCCAAACAAAAACCCATATTAAGAGACCCTTTCTTTTCATTTGACTTTTCTTCTTCTTGTTCTCTTCAATCCCGCAAACCCATTTTTGTTACACAAGTGTTTACGGAGGGAATATCGCACCCAATGCCCAGAACTGTAGAGGAAGTCTTCAAGGGCAGACGAACTGGCTTGATCAAGGCCTTAACTACTGGTTTAATCTTTGTTTGTTTATATAATTTATGGGTTCTTTTTTAATTTTAATTTTCTTGCAGAGGTTCGAGAAGTTTTACCAGCAGTGGGATCCTGGTGCACATTTATTTATATATTCTTTCTCTCAACCTATCTCTTTTTAGTTTTACACAAACAAATCTCAACCCAAAATTGTGTCATACTTTCTCTTTACCATCTTTTCTCTTCCGGGTTCCTTTCAAAATTGTGTTTTTTAACCCAATTTTGTCAATTCAAACAGAAATCCTAATTCCCAACTTAAGAGACCCTTTCTTTTAAAATTCTTTTCATTTGACTCTTCTTCTTCTTCTTCTTCTTGTTTTCTTCAATACCCGTAAACCCATTTTTGTTATACAAGTTTTTATGGAGGGAATATCGCACCCAATACCCAAAACTGTAGAGGAAGTCTTCGGCGACTTCAAGGGCATACGAGCTGGCTTGATCAAGGCTTTAACTACTGGTCTAATCTTTGTTTGTTTATATAATTTATGGGTTTGTTTTTGTCTTTGTGAAATGGGTTCTTTTTTAATTTTAATTCGGTGGGTTGTTTCTTGCAGATGTTGAGAAGTTTTACCAGCAGTCTGCGATCCTTGTGGGTTTATTTTTGTTTTTAATTTAATCTTTTTTCTTGTTCTTGTAATTTAGGGTGTTATGTTGATTAAAAAATTAATTGTTATGATGTTTTGTTTGTGTTGAGTTGACTCTTTTGTTGTTTGGATTATATCAGGTTTGTGTAAATAATTAGCTTATTAACGTGTTATGAATTGTTAAGTTCAAGGTTTGGTGGGTTTCTTTTAGCGTTTTTGATGATTTTATATATATATATATTTTTATTTTTTTGCAGTTCATGGTTTTTTGTTAAATGCAAGGAATGAATTCTTGTTTTGAAGACAGTTCTTTGTATGTTTTCTCAGAGTTTCTTCGTTTCTTACTTACATGCTCATTTTGTGATACAATTCTTGGGACAAACAAACAGCAATGTGATTTCTCTTCTTGTGAAAACTAGGCCGTTTATATAAACACAAAGAGCTACTTCTCTTTGTTGCACTCACAGAATTTTAATAACAATACTGCTTTATTTTGCTGTAGAAATTGGATGAGGCTGCTGTGCAGAAGGTATTCCTGAAGTCGCTTGATTGTATTTCTGATTTTCAGTAACATTAAATGGTATAGCTACTTGAATATTCAACCTTTTTGGAGCTGGTATGTATTTGTTAATGCTCTCCGTTTCTTTTTATGCTGTGCAGTAAGCTTTTTATTGTTAACGGCATATAAAAATTGTGGAGAAGCTTTTGGTTTCTTTGTTAGTCCTTTTTGTATCAACTGGTTTTGCCTTGTTTATGTTGCTATTAGAATTTCCTAATTAAACTTAATGCACAAATGGCAAGGGAAATGGATGAAATTTTAAGGTAGCCAGTTTTAGTTCGAGGAAGGTGTTTGTTTCCTTGGTCGAGTTATCACTCATCGGTTTAATGTCTCACTTTTTGATAAAAGCATTTTTCTCGCTTTTTTGACTTCTTTATTAGACTTAGGTTTAATGTCTTTTTTTGGTTTTTGGACTCTTTTTTGTTTGTTGATTCTGTAGACATTCTGGTTATGAAGTCTTTTGTATCTTTGAGCTGTAATCGAAGGCCATTTCATAAGTCTATTTGCTAGTTGATTTCATGATTTTTAATCAGTTCTTGAAATTACTGTATGTTTGTTGAAGGATGCTTCCAATGTCCTCCTTCATACGTTTGAGTGAAAAGTATTTGTTTATGATGGTCCAACCTTGAATCAAACATTTATCTTGTAAATGTACATATATCATTCTTGCCATTGTAATATGGTACAAGAATAGGATGTCTTCCAAGTTCTTCTTTGTTTTTTTCTGAAAAAATATCACCTTAGTCGATCCTGTTATTTTCTTTGCTGCTGTGTATATTTGCTATGGATTGTCATGCAATATTTCTATCTCATCCTTTTGTCATCTTTCGTTTTAATACCCAAAGTGGGAGCTTGCCTTGGACTTGAGCATGTGTAGAAAGGTGGGACTTTTATTGAGATGCTTGGTTCAAGCATTAGTAATGTTTAAGTTTTGGGACAGTGTAACTCTTGAGTTTAGTTTTAATTTATGAACCTATGAATTGTTTTTGTTAGGATTTAGTTTATATGATTATCAAGTTAGAGATCTGGATATCAAGGTTGCTAGTGGTTAAGTTGGAGTAGGTTCGATATAGGTGTGGAGAGTTGCAAATTTTTGGTGATGAGAAGTCAATTTACTCATGTGTTGTGTGAAAGATCGGTTTACTAGTTTACATTCACAAAAAATGAATTGGTAGTGGGTAGATCAGCTGGGGGGAATTAAACTGTCAAAGGCAGTGGCGGGTTAAGGAAATTGGACCAATGGATTCCTCTATGCTGGAATTTTCGGTGAGCTAATTAACTTTTTCCTTTATTTATCATTAACATTCTTTAACTCATCCTATTGAACAATACACCGAAGCATCCATTTATGATTGGTCGAAATCGAGAATTTCATCATCATATGTTAAACTGTCAAAGGCTGTGGCGTGTTAAGGAAATTGGGACCTGGAATTTTCGGTGAACTAAAGAACTTTTTCCTTTATTCATTCTAACATTCTTTTAACTCATTCATATGTAACATAATCGAAGCATCCATTTATGATTTCTCAGAATTGAAAATTTATCCATTATCACGTTAATTGCACAACTATACATAGACAAAGAGTGATGAAATAGCATCTTTTTTTCATTGATGTATCGTTTGCTTTGTTTGTCCAGATTTCTTCTGTTCTAACTCTAGAAAATCATTATTAGGAGTCCTTTGCGATTTTATGGTTGTGTGGTGATGATGATCTGGGCAATTGATTTTTTCTATAATTGAACAGAATAAATCAGTGAGGACTTCTTTTAATTCGGAAACTTAAAAGGTTTACAATGTGAATGCAATTATTATAGACTAGGGTGGATACATAGTGAATAAGATGAGAAAAGAAAAATAGTTTGTAAATTTATTTTGCCAGATGGTTTTTTGTTTAAAAACATGGGTTGGTGTAACTTTTTCAATTCAACAGGGTTTACCAATTTTAGCAAATTTCTTGGAGAATTTGGCCTTAGTGTGTTCTCATCATGTTATCCTAAATGGTTGTTTAACATAGTTTTACTCTCATCTAGTTAATGGACACATCGAAGTTTTGTTTTGAATTGGTATCTTCTGGGCAGCCTTTCAAATAGTATCAGGGACTGCAGTAACTGTTGAATGTGCAGCCAGTGGTCAAAAAGGAAACGCATGGTGACCATGTCTCTTTTTGAAAATGACCATATATCAGGGTGCAAGGGAGGGTCGATACTACTCTTTGACTGACAGATTTTAGAAAACGTTGAGATATCAAATAGGTATGCTATACCCATCAGTCTTTATCCACTAATTTTTTCTCCTCATATGATAATACAAAACTTTAGCTTCGAATTGAAAATTCAAATGTTTTCGTTTATAGATGTGAGTAACTGAGCAGAGCGTTTACCACCTCTACCGAAGGGTGCTATTCTTGTGGTTTACATTTTTCTATATCCCTCCTATAGTATGCATCCTCAAAGGGAGCCTAGTCTAGATAGCTTACAGTTGAAATCAAATACCTTTCATAACAACCTTGATGGGGAAGGTTAGGGCATGATCCATGGTTAAAAGAATATATGCTAGTGTATATACATGTCTGAGTCCTTGTACATTCCTAATCTTTAAATATACTGAAGCATTCTATGTCTTTTTTTATTTTTATTTTTGTTTTTGGTAGTGGATGGGAGCTCTACATTGTGGGAAAGAACTCCAATGGACAGGCTGGTCTTGGAAAAAGTAACAACTGAACCTCAACGTAATGTTATATGTCTGTCTTCTGTCTTATGTATTTATTCTTTGAGAATGTTTACTTATGTAGCATGTTTTTAACAGTGAAGAAATGACGTTCTAACTTATCTCAACTGATACTATATGGTACTGATACGATATGCAGAAGCGGCAAAAGTGTTCCTGCTCTGACAAAAATAGAGTGCTTGAGTGGAATCTGCAAAAACTTGTAAACTGCAGCCTGGGTTCGAGCACTCAGTTGCTGTTACAGGTTGGAAATGAAAAGAAATTCTATGTTGATGCTTGTTTGCTGCTTTTTAATTAAAAATGGGTGTAAACTTTGTTTGGGGCCTTTGATGTTTATTTTGACCAGATGGGAGGTTAGTGTGGGAGGGAGGAGGTCCGGAACGGGCCCTACGGTGCATGCGCGCGAAAGTAGACAAGCACATTGTTCGGTGTTCCTTACGCCGCTCCCGTTCATGCCTTATTCACGTTGTTACAAGTGCCGGACGACCATTCTCGTTTATTTATTTCCCCACCATCCATTCATCCTTCCCATTCCCCCTCTTGCCCTCTCTATGTTTTCCCTTCCCGTACCCACCACTCTCCCTTTCCGTGCTACTTTTCCCCCCCCTTCCATTAATCACGTTCCCCCTCTCTTTTCATTTCACTCCCTCGTCCCCTGTCCTGTTTTCCCCCGTCCTTTCTGCCTCTCGCCTTTCGCTTGCCCATTTATACCCACCCCCTTATTCTCTTACCCCACCCTCCCTCTTCCACCCATATACCACCACCCCAACATCCACCCATACCATACCATCGCCCTTTATGTTCCCGCCGGCTCGACTGAATTATCCCCAACCCCCCTTGCTTCAGTTCCTCCCCACACTTCCTGCCCTCACCCGATCCTTTTTCCAACCATCATTCCCCTCCCTCCCCCGGATATTTCTGTTGTCATACCTACCTCACCTTCCCCCCCCTTTTCTTGCAAATATTCCGGCCCTTTTGAGGGTGGCCGTTTTCTGTTTGTGCAGACTGCCTCAGCCTCCTACGGTGGCCTACTAATCGGCAACAACTAGCGACGACCGTACATTACTTTTGCCTATCCCACCTCTACTCTACTTACAGTGAGCTGGGCCCCGGACTCTTGTCCCTTCGTTCTGTGATATAAAATCGCTCACTATTGCACAACCGAGGAGCATATACCCACCCCGAACTTCTCACGCACCCTATGAGCCTGTCACGGTATCTTCTTATTTGGTGCTTCCCCACTTGGGATTGCTGTATTAATCACCGCACTGCCATGCCGTGTCCCCCTTGTGCCTTTGCCACATTATTGCCCTTGGCCCCCCCACCGCACCCACGTCCCCCCCCCACTCCTGAGTTCTGGCTTCGCCTCGCGGCCATGCAATACTCGACATCTTGCTCCCCTTTCCCCTGAGACCGACCCTCCACTCCCATGCAGATCACTACCTCAGCCTCCGGTCTCCCCCCTCCTCCTGAGCACAGATATCACCGCCCACAGGTTTGTTTTCTTAGGTAGAGCAAGAGCGCCAGCGCGTCCGCTGGTCTTTCCGCCTGGCATTCGAACCCACGTTTTTGAGTCCCCCACCCGCACAGATCCGGCCTTGGAGCGGCATTTTCGTCGCATTTATTACCCCGTCCCGCTTAATTCCTCTTCATGAGCCACTGAGTTTGTCAGTCCTTTACCGCTTTCCGAACCACTCAATTAGTTGTTCCTCTTTCCACAACCCCCCTGCATAAGCCCGTTCCCTCTTCCCCAGCTTCCGCACCTGTGACTTGGCTCCCCCGGGTGTTTTCTTTCCTCCCATCTTTCCTTCCTCTCGTCTCCCTCTTCTCCTTACCCACATGTTACGTCCTGGTTGCTTGCCTCGCGACTCTTTCCCGCGTGTTTCTTAGCCCCTGGCTTACGTGCTAGTTTTTTCCATCTTGCTGACCTTTTCAGTTCCCTTCCTACCTTCACTCCTTGAGCGCCTTTACCCCCCATTTTTTCCATACCCTTCGGCCGCACTACTGTTCCCGCTTGTGCCAAAATAAATCAACCAGTCCAAAACCAAGAGTCCAAACCGGTTATTGGCCAACTCATTTACAAGCGTTTTTCCTTTGCGTGTTCTACTATGCAATTATTGTCAAACTTAGCCCCTAGTCTGCGCGCAGTACATGCCAATTTGTTCTAATGCCCATGCTATACTGTCGGGCTCCT